GGCGTTTAGGGGCGTTCTGTGATGCAGACAGACGAGCCTTTTGGAGGGTTTAGGAGTTTGAGTGAAACCCACAGAAATCAACAGTCGCAGTTTGCTCTAGAGATACATGCAATAACTGACAGCCACACAGCTGAGAGGAGCAACCAGCGACGGATTAGGCATACAAAGCCGTACAAAGGACTAGCTACAGCCAGGGGTGAGGGGTGCTACATCCTTCCTTCTGGAAGTAATCAATGCCGTCCACTCGGGCCTCCCAACCATAATGGGCCGGAGCGTGGGGTGAGTCAACCTTGTACTATTCATTGACTTGCCGGGGGATAGGAACCGGACTGTTGCTCCCCAGAATGGAAAAGGAACCAGAACCAAGAGGTTCTAAATTAAAAAAAAAAAAAAAAAAAAAAGGGTCACGGAAGGGGATATATGGGGCTGGGAAGGCGAGTGGAGGTTGCAAACGGGGGGGAGAAGAAGGGGAGAAGCAGGCGAGAGGGGGTAGAGGACACGGGAGAAGCAGGGGTGCTTTTAGGGGAAGATGAAGGGAAGCGGAAGGTACAGTGGCCGCCACAGAAAGGGATACATGGGGTTGGGCAGGCGAGTGCAGGTCGCAAACGGGGGCGAGAAGAAGGGAAGAAGCAGGCGAGAGGGGGTAGAGGACAGGGGAGAAGCAGGGGTGCTTTTATGGGAAGATGAAGGGAAGGGGAAGGTACAGTGGCAGCCCTGTTCAGAGCACACCACTACCCCCTCCTCAGAATCCCGCCGCCGACCACTTAACCTTCTTCCCCTCTTACTGTGTCGACCCGAATACAACGTACCTTCATTAGACCTGTATTTGGGGCAACATTGAGTCTAAATACACAGCAAGAATTACCATACGTTGTATTTGTGTGAAGACAGTAGCAGTCAGGATATCGAACAGAAACCATCAGCATCCTAACTATCGGACTCCAGCCTGCCGTTATACATAGCTACACCCATTTGGTATCATCAGATGTGCACACTGCTGCTTCCGCACATCTACCTGGGCGTCAATCGGCGCCCGACTGATATATACGACCAGCCTGCCATCGACATTTATTATTAATTTTATTACCTCCCCTGAGCCTAAACAGAACAGCGTTCCAGGTGGGACCAGACTCTCACCGCATCTCGATCCACGGCTCTCATCTCGATCCACGGCTCTCTCCGCCTCATTTATAAATGGTTATCCAACTTATCCCCCATCTTTTTCTTTCTTTTTCTTTTTCTTTTTCTTTTTCTTTTTTCTTAAATTCACCTGCTACTCAGATCATCGAATCATCATTCACAAATCCTAACAGTGTACACAAGACAGCACCAGCAGTTGCTACCTTCTTCCCCCGAACATAACGCGTAAGCGTTGTATTCGAGTTTTCCACAGAAAAAAAAAAGGTTTTTCCGAAAGTTAGTACCTTTTTCTTTCCAAATAGAAGATCCCTTCCAATACAACGCATGTCTGTCTTATTCGAATAAAAAAGCACATGCGTTCTAATTTCTAATCGAATTTCTAAAAGAGAAGACTACTCTTTTTTTTTTCTTTTTTCTTTTTTCTTTTTTTCCCAAAAGCACATGCGTTCTAATCTCTAATCGAATTTCTAAAAGAGAAGACTCCTCCTCCTCCTCCTCCTCCTCCTCCTCCTCCTCCTCCTCCTCCCATACCTTTCTCGGCCTTTTGGCTAAGATCAAGTGTAGTATCTGTTCTGATCAGTTTAATATCTGATCCGTGGTCCATCGGGCCATTATAAAAAAAAAAAAAGAAAAAAAAAAGAAGAAGATTCTTTTTTCTTTTTTTTTCCAAACTCAACGCCTTCTCTGTTTCTGTCCTGGCACCTGCAGCTCTTCGTGAGTTGAACCTGTGTGCCTCGTTCTGGGGCCCTCCGCCATGGGGGCCAGAACTGAGCCTACTCAACCAGGACCCGCCCCCCCCCTTCTGTCCAAAACTTTGCTCCAGTCCCCACTAGAATACAATCCATATGCGAATTAAACGAACAAACCGCCACGTATCCCTTGTATTCGATTACAACACATGCCTTGTGTTTGCAGGAAGACGGTAGTCAAGAGCTTGATGTTCCGCGGAAAAAAAAAAATGGCAGCTCTACGTTTTCAGAAAACTTCAAAAAGTCTACCCACTGAGAGTGCCCCAGGGGTTACCTGGCTGGAGCGCTGCGGTATCAGCCAGGGCCACAACTTCCCACAAGGCTGAAACCTTGGGCATGGCTGCTGCTGCTCTGTTGTGAAAGCCGAATCAGGGTCCAAATGATCGGGGCCTTGAAGGTCCCCCAATCCTGTCCATGAGTGGGTCTCATCGTCCCGTGGTTTCAGCAACAGAAGTCCAAAATGGAATGTGCCACTGAATGTTCCACTGGACAGGTACAGTAGCACCAAAAAAGAGAGAGAAAGAAACAAACAAACAAAAAAAAAAAAAAAACAAGAGGTTCAATTCCACCAGGGACAGGAAACGACACCAGGCTTCATAACGAAGAGAGAAGAGTTATCGTCCAACCGGACCCGGGGTTTGGAGGGCCACCTGCCGAAGTCAGCATAAATGGCAGTACACAAAGCGCGTCCTTAACGGCCACGGCCTCAAGCACCGCAGCAAAAAGATGAAACCCTTGCCTGCTCGAAACACCTTGCATCGTTCACGCCGAATCAAATACCCCAACAAATTGCAGCTCGAACGTTCTCCCTCACGTACACGAGTGGCAAAATTTGAGCTGTATGTGCAGTAATTCGGCCTAATTATACGGATTGGGGTGACATACGATCGCGTGCGAAAGGACATCAATAGCTAAGCAATTTCACGGTCCCACCATTCCCGAAAGCGGATCGAGGTAGTACATTCAATGAACAGGTGAGGAATCGTTTCCTCAGTCTGTTTGCAGATTCCGCAGGTGGGATCACAATACTGGGACTTCATGGACTGCCACTCAATAGTGGCCACAGCCACGTTCCCGGAAATGTCCTTAGATGGTTATGCCCTTCATCCGTCCACTTGGCGGTATTCACTTGGTGCATAGTGGGCGGAGAGAGAGAGAGAGAGAGAGAGAGAGAGAGAGAGAGAGAGAGAGAGAGAGAGAGAGAGAGAGAGAGAGAGAGAGAGAGAGAG